AAAAATGCCTTTTGCAGCATCCTGGATGAAGCTGGAGGTCATTATTCTAAATGAAGTAACTCAGGAATGGAAAATCAAATATCGTATGTTCTCACTTATCAGTGGGAGCTAAGCTATGAGGACTCAAAGGCATGAGTGATATTAATGAACTTTGGGGTCTCAGTGTGGGGGAAGATTTGGGGGATGGATAAAAGGCTACATATTGGGTACCATGTATACTGCTGGGTGATGGGTACACTAAAATCTCAGAAATCACAACTAAGTAACTTATCCATGTAACCAAAAGCCACCTGTACTCCAAAAACTATTAGAAAAAAACCCAGTCCCATTCATCTCAGATATATTCATTCATTCATGATTTTATTCACCAAACATTTACTGTATGTCAGTCAATAAAAAGTAAGATTTAGTCTTGCCCATGAGGAGTTTGTTTTTTAATTGGGAAGATCTCAGGACAGTGCTGTGATAGGGGGAGAGCCCGTTTCTAATGAATGCACACATCAATATGATATATTTAGAAAACTCTATGTTACTTTGGTTATTCCTGATTGATGAACTAGTTAAAAATTCCAACAGCAGAAACTTCATATCCCAAAACAAAAGCAATGTTTTTATCTTGCTGCAAATTCCAGGTTGCATATCTCCAGAGACAAATTTAATTATGGCTTCATCCACCTGAAGGCAGAAAACCAGGGTGCTGGGAACAGCCTGTGTATCTATTATACCTAGGCATCAGTATTGTGCAGTCTTCCTCTCTGTAACACAGCCTGTAGAATCCAGGAGGAAAGCGTCCCTCGGCCATCTGAAGTGGCTATCAAAAGAATCTGGTCTAAAGCCATGCATTTTACTTTTTAGTTTCTCACTCAGAGCCCTATCACTTTTATTAAATTTCCAGTTCTTAACACCACCGAGAGTCTGTGTTCCCAGCCCAGACAGAGACCACCAAGTAGAAAGGGACACAGTTGGGTTATTTTTAGAAGTAGCTACAGTTACAACAGAAGTGGCAACTGGACATGGAGAGGTGACAGAATATCGGAAAAACAGAAGGTAAAATAATGGATGTTCAAAATTTTGAAATGCTCAAGTCATGGAACAAGAAGATGATGCTTTCCCCCAGTATTCTCTGTGACAGAAGTCACGGAAATATGTGATACATTTTAATAAAGACTTATATGCAAAATGATTAAAATTAGCTTGAGCATTTGAAGGGACAGCTTTCTTTTTATGTTAACATTTATTTGCAGAAGATCCTTGACTCCCTTAGGATGCCAGGTGAAAAGTATCACTAGCTTTAATAATATTTATTTTCTCATGTATTTTCTATTGTTGGGCTATGACACATCTCTGGGAACAAGTGACTTCTAACTGACAGGGAGAGTGATGCAGCTGTGAGTCACCTGGAAATGACTGACGGGGGGATGAGTGTTTCAAACATCTGTCTTAGACCTCTTCCACCTCCTCGTCGAGAGTCTCAATTTGCTTAGACGGGAAAGGTCTCTGTAAGGCACAGGGCTCTGAAAGACAGATGTTTTTGAAACCAGGAATCTCATGCGGCAGAGAGATTGCCATGATTGATTTGTTCCTGTACTTCTTTTATTTATTTTATTTATTTATTTATTTATTTATTTATTTATTTATTTATTTTTTTTTTTTTTTACTTTCTTTAGTGATTTCATTTATTTATTTTTGGAGAATCTCAAATGGAAAGGGTTGATTAATCATAATCTCTCCATCTTCAAAGGTACATTATTTTCATATGTTGGGATCCAATGGAAAGCATAATCTTCTTTGTTTTTTTGTGGATCTTTTTGTTTTTTATGTCTGTATATTTATGAATGTCTGTATTTACTTATTCCCTTTACCCTCATTTCCCACTGCCTCTCCCCACTTTTTCCTACCTTCTGAGCCAGTCTGTGATGAGTTGGGTATGTATCTTTTGATTCACATTTCCTTGTAAAACAAATAGAGTTAATTTGTGTGTTAATTTCTTTTTAAGTTACATAAATGGCGTTTTGCACTAGACCTTGTTCTGTTTCATACATGAAACTCACTCAGTGAGTTTTAAAGTCTTTTAAAGATCCATCTGTGTTGCCGTTCCTGGATCCAGTTCATTGCTTCCCACTGCTACATCATGGTGCGTGGTATGCATCCACCACAGTTTACAGATTCATTCTGTACTGATAAACTTTGAGGTTGACTTGGTGCCCTAGTCAAGTCATAATAATCAGTATGGTGGTAAACAGCCTTATTGCACAACCTTAAGGACTTGTGCAAAGGTCACTTTGGGGTTATTTTCCCAGGTGTAGATTGTTGGGTCATAGGATGGATGTGTACTTAATTTGACTGCCAGTTACTCTCCAGAATGACTCGACCAGTTTATGCCTCTATTAGCAGTACATGAGAATTCTTGTTTATTTGTCACTCTGTTGATATGTCCAACATTCAGAATTTTGCCAAACTGATAAGGTGTAAAGTGGCATTTTACTATTTTAATTTGAATTTTCCTGATTTCTAATATATTTAAGTATCTCTTTATATATTTGGTATCCATTCAGGTTTCCAGTGCTTTGAATTGCAATTTAAGCTCTTTGTGTAGTTTCCTATTTGGCTTCCTGTCTTTGGGTTTTGTTCTTGTTTTTTGAGATGAGGTCTTGCTCTGTCGCCTAGGCTGGAGTGCAGTGGCACAATCATGGTCCACTGAAGCCTACCTCTGGGCCTCAAGCAATCCTCCCAAATTCAAATGACTTCCCACCTCAGCCTCCTGAGTAGCTGGGACTATAGGCATGTGCCACCTTGCCTGGCTGAGTAAAAAAAAACTTTTTAATAGAGATGGGGTCTCCCTGTGTTGCCCAGGCTGGTCTCCAATTCCTGGGCTCAAGCGATCCTCCTAGCGTGGCCTCCTAAAATGCCGGGGTTACGGATATGAATCACCATGCCTGGCCTTCCTGTCTTTTTCTTACTAAGTTGCAAACGTTCCTTGTGTAATCTGTGACTCTCAAACTTTGATGTGCATACAAACTACCTGGGAATCTTATTAAGTTTCAGATTATGATTCAACAAAGACAGGATGGGACTCAAGCTTGTGCATTTCTTATAAGCTCCCAGATGATGCAGAAGACTGGGGTTCTTGAACCACCCTTTGAGCAGCAAAGTGCTAGTTGTTAGTTTGAGACTTTGCAAAAGTCTCCTTCCACATTTGTCATGCTACTATCACTTTTGTCTAGATTTAATTGCTTTTTGTCTAGATTTAATTGCTTCACAGCTCTAAAAAAATCCTCTGGGCTCCACATAGTCATCTTTACCCCCAGTCCCTGAATCCCTGGCAGCCACTGATCTTTTTACTGTCTCTACAGTTTTGCTTTTTCCCGAATGTCATATGGTTGGATTTAGACTGCATGTAGCCTTTTCACACTGGCTCCTTTCACTTAGAAATATGCACTTGAGGTTCCTCCACGTCTTTTCTTGGCTTGATAGATCATTTCTTCTTATCACAGAATGATGTTTCACTGTATAGATGTACCACTGGTTGTTTTTCCATTCACCTATTGAAGGACATTTTGGTTGCTTCCAAGTTTTGGCAATTGTGAATAAAGGTGCTATAAACATTTATGTACAGGTTTTTATATGGACATAAGTTTTCAGATCATTTGGGTAAATACCTAGGAGTGAAATTGCTGGATTGTATGGTAAGGATATGTTTAGTTGTGTAAGAAACTGCTAAACTGTTTTCCAAAGTGGCTATACCATTTTGTATTCCCTCTAGCAGCAAATGGGAGTTTCTGTTGTTCCATATCCTCACCAGCATTTGCTGTTAGTGTTTTGGATTTTAGCCATTCTGGTCGGTATGTAGTGGTATCTCATTGTTGTTTTAATTTGCAATTCCCTAGTGACATATGATGTTGCGCATCTTTTGATATGGTTATTTGCCATCTGTATATCTTCTTTGGTGAAGTGTCTGTTCAGATCTTTTGCCTGCTTTTTATTGTTAAGTTTTAAAAATTCTGTGTATATTTTATATTTTAGATACAAGTCCTTTATCAGATATGTGTTTGCAGAGATTTTTCTCCCAGACTATGGCTTGTCTTTTTATTCTTTTAACAGTGTCTTTTGCAGAGCATAAGTTTTTAACTTTAATGAAGACTACTTACCCATTTTTTTTTTTTTTCATGGATTGTGCTTTTTTGGTGCTATATCTAAAAACGCATTGCTAAACCAAGGTGACCTAGATTTTTCCCTATATTTTCTTCTGGAAGTTTTATAGTTTTGCATTTTACATTTAAGGTCTATGATCCATTTTAAGGTGGTTTTTGTGAAGAGTATAAGGTCTGTATCTAGATTCATATTTTTGCGTGTGGCTATCCAGTTTTTCCAGCACCATTGGTTGAGAGACTGTTCTGTCTCCACTGAATTGCTTTGCCCTTTTGTCAAAGATCAGTTAACTGTATTTGTATGGGTCTATTTTTGGGCTCTCTATTCTATTCCATTGATCTGTTTGTCTATTCTTTCACCAATATCACACTGCCTTGATTACTGTAGCTGCTTTTAAATATATGTTTTGTAACCTTGTACTTCCTTAAAAAAGATTCAAGATAGATTACAATTTCAGTTACATAGGAAGTAGGATAATTTTAATAAAAAACCAAAAATTATTAATCATAAAGATACGGATTCTTCTGCCAGTGGCTCTATTCTTTCAAAAGCTGGAAAACAGAGCTCTCTTACAGTGGCGTATGGACAGGCCTAGGGCTTTTTACCATCTGGCATTTATCTGACAACACTGATAATTATACATTTAGACAGAGAGAAATACTGAGGTTATTCTTCAATGTTATTGTTTTCCTTTGCATTTGTGATAACTAGTTAGTGTTGCATAGTTATTTATGGTTCATTGGAGATACATCTTAATACTTTAGTTATTTTATTAATTGATACTGCATCAAATGTTTGTTGAAATATCCATATATGCAAATCTGACCACATTCTTTTGCATTTTGTTTTAGGTCAATGATGCCTTCCTTCATGTGAAACAGGGGAAATCCATGGGCAAGGTGCTTCTCGCTGTTAAATAAATCCTCGCCTGAGCAGCAAAGTTAACATGTCCAGATCAAAACTCCACATCTTTCCCTAAAACCTGATTTCCCTTCTGTGTTTCTAAAGGTGTTACCACTTTCCTTACTAATCCAGGTTTAAAATCTTGGCGTCACCTCTGATTCTGTTACAACAGAATCAACTCTTAACTAGTATGATTATATAGTTTATTGTCCAAACCTTTTTGAGAGTAAAAGGGTGCCATTAGTAATTACATCAGGAAAACATATCCCAGGCAAACCAGGGTGTATGGTCAGTCTACTCAATGCATTATGAAATGCAGTGACTGCCGAGTTCTGTCATTCCCACCTCTGAGATATCTCTCATGTCCATATCCTCTTCTCCATTCTGACTAATTAAGCCTGAACTGCTATCACCAGTGACCTTCTAACTGCTTTTCCTACCTTTAAACTACTCTCACCCCCTCCATCCTTGTGATGCATTGTTGCCATGGTGATCGTCCCGAAGCATAGCTCTGACTATGGCCCATTTCAGAAAACTACAGTGGCTCACAATTGCCTGATGGTGGAGTTCAGACCCCTTGAGCTAGCATTTCATTATGACTGTGATTTTTCCCCGCACCACTTTCCAGCCTTAAGTATGTACTGAACTTTCCTGCCTCCCTCATTTTGCCCTGCTTGTGCAATTTTTTCCACCCTCCATCTCTGTCAAACATAAGCCTTCCTGACCTCTAAGACCTGCCTTTGTCATGTGCCTTTACCCTCAGGCAAGGAGCAGTCTTTTCTCTTCCTCTTCTACCTTCCTGTAGCTTCCCTAGGATTTGTCACTTTCTGCCTTGAATCATAGGGAACGACATGTGTAGTGGAGTGAACACAGGCCTCTGAATCCAAGATATGAGTTTAAATCCCAGCTTTGGAGGTGGTTACTTAAGGTCTCAGTACCTTCATTCTTCTCCCTATATAAAGTAGATATTACAATATCTAACTTAGAGAGTCATTGGGAGCTATACATGCAGTGATTGAGTAAAGCACCTGGCATATGGCAAGCAATTAGCAAATGCTGGTTACTTCTACTTCTTTCTCTTCTCTTTTCCCAATGTATCATAAGTTCCTTGAGAGCAGGCACCATGTCTGATTTACCCTTGTATTTCCCACAGTACTTCCCATAGTGAGTTACCCTTAATAAACAGTAAGTTGAATTGAATTTAAATTACCTGTAAGTTTTAAAATGCGGGATTAAATTAAGAATATGTTGCTTTGGAAACACCCATATGTCTATCGATGGATGAATGGATAAACAAAATGTGGTATACACATAATGGAATATTATTCAGCCTTAAAAAGGAATGAAATTCTGACATGTACTACAATATGATGAACCTGGAAGACATTATATGTGAAATAAGCCAGACAGAAAAGGACAAATACTATATGATTCCACTTATATGAAGTACCTAGAATAGTGAAATTCATAGAAACAGAAAGTACAGGTTGACATCCAAAATCTGAAATGGGAAACGCTCCAAAATCTGAAACTTTTTGAATGCTGACGTGATGCTCAAAGAAAATGCTCATCGGAGCATTTCAGATTTTGGATTTTTGGATTTGGGATGCTCAACTGGCATAATGTGAATATTCCAAACTCTGAAAAAATCTGAAGTCTAAAACACTTCTGGTCTCAAGAATTTTGGATAAAGGATACTCAACGTGCAACATGTAGAATGTTGGTTGCAAGGTGGGAGGGGAGAACGGAGAGTTATTGTTTAATGTACAATGTTTCCGTTTGGGAAGATGGAAAGTTTTGGAGGTGTGTGATGGTTATGGTTGTGCAACAGTGGGAAGGTACTTAGTACTGCTCAACTGTGTACACTTAAAAATGGTAAAAATGATAAATTTCATGTATGTCTTACAATAATAAAAGAAGTTTTTAAAAAATCATGTTATCCTCTTTTCTAAGTGAATCCATTCAGGGAGGAGAACAGGGAGTGTGTGTAGCGTGCCTAGCTTAGGTTGGAGTCAGCTCCAGTCTCTGCCGGAGTCCTGGTTTTTTGGGAGAGGTCCTGTACTTTTGCTGGGTGCTAAGCATTGTGCTGTATTCCTCCTACTGCATGAGTGATAATTCTCAGAAAGGAGGAGGTGGCATGAGGATAAAAACAGGCACCTGACACAACAGGGAGATGTGGGTACTTCCACTTATTCTTGATGAAGTCCGCTTCCAATAAATGTGGTAAGAGGCTTTGTTTAGAAAAAAATATATGTTTTTTGAAGAATAGAATGATAAAATAGGATTAACATTTGAGGAAAGAATTTGAAACGGAGAAATTAGCAGAAGGAAGGGGGAGGAGAAAGATGTCAGGGAAATCACCCACGTGTGTGTTGTGGGCCACGTGATGCCTCCATGAGGGCCAGCACACTTGCTGCCGCCTCTTCCGAATCTCAGCGGGTGTGTTTCAGCCTTCTGGGAGCTTCATGCCCTGTGATTCCATTTCATAATAGGCTTCTTCTCACCTCCCTTCCCCCAACCCCATTTCATCTTAATATGAACTACTTTTATATTTAAATGAAAGTTGGTTTTCAAAAATATTAAGAAAGTAAAGTTTGAGCCATATTTTAGAGTTTCCTAACACCCTTTGGCATAACTGAAGACACGCTGGATAGATCGTGGGAGAGAAGACAAATCAGGATTGGGAAAAGTGTATGAGCCCGGCCAGGAGCTGCCTTTTCTGCTGCTGACAGCTGATCAGTAGGTGTCACAAATAATAAAGATCTATTGTCCACAGTTCACTAACATCAAAATGACTTAAATAGAAAGAGACAGTCATTTAGGAGAATGAGTTTTTTCCGATTTAACAAGTTTTGGTTAGAACCCCTAATGACCTGTTCTCTGCTTGCCTCTGTTCCTGTTTCATTGGAGTGATTTGATTTGAAAGCATTTGAGTCATATTTTAGTCATCGTTTGGTTATTCTACCATCTGAGCCATTAGTTAGTCTGAAAAAAGAATCAATGCAGCTCCAAGTGACAGTATTTATTCTATATTCACAGACTTTTCCCAGCTCTTCCTCGTAGGCTGCTGCTGGAAGAATCATGCCCACACGCCCACCTCCCCTTTTTCAGTAACTGTGGGTCTCTCCACCTGCACATACTTCTCTCCAAACCAAAACGAGGTTTTCTGCCATTAGCTGTGAAATGATCCTATTTATGCATCGCCAGTATATTTGTCCCTGCTCCTTCCTCTGTAATCTGTGTGAATTTAGAAAACGACCTTTTCTATTTGAGTTATGGTAAAGATAATAAGGGCTGTTATTTGAGAAGCAAAGGATAGTGAAGTGCCTTCATGTATTCAATTGTATTTAATTTAAAACAATTGGAGTAAACTAAGAAAAATTCATTCTATTATTTCGTTTTCTTATTTTTTTTTCCAAGTTTATATAAAGGAATCAAGGAGCAATGACTGTTTTTTTCTTTTCTTGAGATGGAGTCTCACTCTGTCACCCAGGCTGGAGTGCAGTGGCATGATTGCAGCTCACTTCAACCTCCGCCTCCCAGGTTCAAGAGACTCTCCTGTCTCAGCCTCCTGAGTAGCTGGGACTACAGGTGCACACCACCACGCCTGGATAAATTTTGTATTTTTAGTAGAGACAGGGTTTCACCACGTTGGCCAGGCTGGTCTTGAACTCCTGACCTCAAATGATCAATCCTAGCCTCCCAAAGTGCTAGGATTACAGGTGTGAGCCACCGCGCCAGGCCAGCAATGACTTTTCAAATCTCTTTTGTTTGTAAAAGTGATGTGAGGGGAAGACCTAATTAAAGAAACAAATTCTGGCATTTCCATTTGTTCTCTTCCATTTTGCTTCTTCATCAGAGCTTATTGGTAGATTGAAGGTCTGAGTTGGAAATTAACTTGTTTCTAGAACTGTATCCTTGTTGAGGAATCATGTAAAAAGTGACTTTTTCACCTCTTTCTCTCTGTATTTAAAAACGGTCATTTTCTTGAACTTTGGTGAACTACATCATCATTTTAAAAATGGCACTGTTAAAATAATTACAACAATACCATATGGTCACTGGAAAAAGTCAAACAACCCAGAAATTTATAAGTAGAAATTGTTATCCTATTTTTCCTCTTTCTTTTTTCATTTCCATTCTCCAGGGAAAGTACTGCAAGCAATTTGTTGTTAGTCTTGAGTCTTGCAAACCTTTTTAAATACAGCCCCCACAACCCCCCATAAACAGAGATTTTTTTTAAAATAAAGATATACATATATAAGCTTTAAAAATAGTATGCATACTGTTCTGTAATGTGCTGTTATAAATTAAAAATATAGACATTCATATTAGTATAAAGAGTTATCTTTTTAGCAGCTGCTTAGTATTCCATAGTGAGGAAATATATAATACATAATCATTTCCTTATTAGTGAACTTATTCACATAAGCATTTATCAATGTGCCTCTATGTGAGCAAAAGTTTACAAATCTAGTGGGGGAGACAGACATTAATCAAATATATAAAATCATGCTAAACTGGTGCCATCCGAGGTCTAATGGAGGAATTCAACTCAGGAAGGTCAAGAAACATTCCCTGAGGAAAGACCTTTGAGCCTCTATCTGAAGATGGAAGCTTCTAGGAATTTAATCCTAGCGATTTAGATATGGAAGAAAGGGAAGAATATTCCCGGACCCTGTGGGTAGTGAAAGCACAGTGAATAAAGGGAGCTGAAAGAAGGCTGGTGGGGCTGAAGCTTGAGAAGCGAAGGCAACTGTTGTGAGATGAGGCTGGCAGTGGGGACCAGGTTAGGCAGGGATGTGCAAACAAGTTATGGGAGTTTTGACTTTACCCTATAAGCAAGGGCTGCCACTGAAGTGCTGTAAGCAGAGGGGGAACAGGGGCAGCATGACTAAAATGGCCTTTTGGAATCCCTTCAACTATAGTGGGGAGAAGGGATTGGAGAGGAAAGGACAGCTAGGAGTTCATTAAAGTCCAAATGAAAGATGTTGTATCTTGGACTAAGGTGGTAGTGATGGGGAAGGAGATAAATGGACAGAAGGGAGAGCTGTGCAGGAGATGAAAATGAAAGGATTTGATGTTAGATTGGATATAGGGCTAAGGAGGAGGAAAGGAGAGGGAAATGTCAAGATGACTCCTAGCTCCTAGATGTTTGAGAAGAGGGACATCAAAATTGGGTTTTGGCAGTGGAGAGGGGCTATGATGGGGCAAAAGGTTAAGTTTTGTAAATACTGAGATTTACGGGACATGTTAAATACCTGTCCGGGGTTCAGAAGAGAGATGTGGCCTCGAGATACAACTTTGGGAATCATTTGCATGAAGGTAATATTGATGTCTGTGGTGTGGCTGACATTATCCATGGAGAGTGTGTAGAGTGAGAAAAGAGTAGGGTATAGACTAGCCTTGAACATGTTTCCTTTCAATAGAACCATGGAATGAATATTTCATAACTGTGCTGTTTACCACTAAAAGTCTTAGAAGGGGTAGTTTGGTGATTTAAAATAAGTGCCAAGTGAACACAAGGAAGGATGCATTGCACAGTTGCAAAAGCACCATCCTCTTAATGAAGGGCCAGGGACTGGGGCTCTAATTCCAGCTCTTTGATCTTGGTCTAGTTACCTTTTCTACTTTTTTCATGTGAAAAATAAGGATCACATGTTTTCTCTACCTTGCGTGGTTCATGTGAGGGTCAAATGAGATAAGGTATGTAAAAGTGCTTTGCGAGTTATTTTCATAATAGATTACAAGGTTGACTTTTACCAGTGTATTTAAATTCATTTCAGAGTTCATTTCATTTTATTAGAGCAAAAGACGTATATTTCTTTCAGCATATGCTGGGCTGACATGGAGCAAAAGAATTGTTTGATTTTTAAAATGGTCCCTCAAATATTTTTACATTTTAGCTAAAGTCATTGTGCTTTTTTATACAGAAGAATAGACAGAGTGATGGGAGCCCAGTGATCTGATGTACCTCAAAGAATTACAGAGCCAGACAAGGTCTAGAGAAGGACATGTAAGTTGATCAAGAGGGTAGAGAGCATTCTTTGTGAGCGATGATAAAAGAATTAGAACTTTTCATTCTGGAAAGAAAGACACAGGCTGAGGGGGGAATATGATTGAGATTTATAAGATAATGAAAACCTAGTATAAAAATATGAACGTATTAAATCCCAGAGCATAAGAACTAAGGACAACTTTAACATTTTAAAGCAATAGTTTTAGGGCAAAGCAAAAATAGCACTTTTTAACAGAAGAAGAGTAAACATATAGAACATATACAACAAAAGCAAATATTGTAAGAGATTTATATTGTTAGAGGATAGATCCATAGGAGATTATAAAATGAAACCAAAACTATTTGGTTAAATCTCGCTAATCTGTTAGGATGATGATAGGGAATGACTATTAAACTTTCCTGCCTCTATCTGGCATCCTTATCTAAATCAAGATTCCTGAGTGTACTTGCTGGAGAGCA